AAGTTTGGAACATTAGATTATTTTAGTTCCTTTAAATATGAAAATTACTTACAAACGTTAAAAAAATTATTAAAAAAACCTGATAAACCATTAGAACAAATTATTCGCAGATACATTGAATATGAACAAAATAAGCTCAACAAAACACAAGAATCTGAAATAACATGTTCTCATTTTTTGGTAGATCTCAAATCTACTCATACAAAAGGTCCTTTAATAGAAGATTGCTATAATCCTCAATACCAAATAATGAGATGCTTAAATACAACAATACGCATTGATACATTGGCAGATAATTGTTGTGGTTTAAGAGATGGGAAAATTATTGAAGTAAAAAATATTGCTTACTGTAAAGAGCTTAATACAAATGTCATTATAGGCCATGAATTCTGTCATAGAAAAGATTTGTATGATATTCCTTGTCCTTCGTCTCTTATAGGAATATTTATTGTAGAGAACTTATCAGAATTAAAGATGTGGCCAATAGAAAATGTTAAAACAAAATATGTTAAACTACCATTAATAAAAGATAATAAGTTTGCAGTCTTCCCATTGCTGCATCAATAATTTCAAATATGTTTGAAGGATAAATATAGTAAAGAATTTCATCATGGAAGAATTATACTCTATTGTCGAGTTTGAAGATGGTTTACAAATGATTCCTACCTCCTGGTTAATAAAAGATAAAAATAGTGCTCATTGGCCACAATTTACTTCGCATGCGAGATTTATAAAAGCTGTGAAAAAAAAGATTTTACCTCAGGATAATTGGCCTACATATAATATAAAAAGGATATTAGCTACTGCAAGTAAGTAACATAAATAAAACAAGTGTTATATAATTCAAAAAGTTATTATTAAATTTTAAAAGTACATATATAATAAGTTTTTTTTAACCGTTAAGCATTAATAAATTTTATATCCTATTTAGACACATATGAGAAAAGATTACTAAAATTAAAGAAAGCAGAATTTATATCAGACATAAATTCAGAGAGCGGTGGCTCTGAAGAGTTAAAAAAATCTCGAAAGAATAGGGCCAAGAAAGTAATATCAAGTAGCGATGATAATGCTACTGATGACGAAAGGATTCAGTTATCACCCTACCCTAAAATTCCACAAAAAGATGCACGTGATACAAAAATAAGTACATTTTGTGATAAATCGAAGCAATTAGGAAGTAAGTAAAAAATAGATAATATATATTTTTTCTATAACACAATATTTTAACTATTCTTATTTATATTGAAACATAGAAAAGATATCTGTTGACAAAGAAAAAAAATTGGAAAAAACAAATACTAATTTAATGAAAATAAATAAAGAAACGTATAATACTTTGGTTATTGACAATTGTGAAGGTAATTTTTATAATTATAATAAGGATATTATATTTTTAAAAATATATTAACAGACTTTCTTAAATATTTTATATATTTAATATAT